CAGTGTTTAAAGCTGTAAAAACTGACATTAAGTCTCGTAATCGCAGTCGTTCGCTGGAATCATTCTGGACTCTGTATGCATTGGCATCTTTTACGCGCGCTTCTCCCGTGCCAACGTACGTATCTCTTTCCTTCTGTAAAGAGTTACTGCAGAAACTTACCTTCGTTCTTTCCCTAGCAACGGGCGAATACCATCATGTTCTCGAACTCCGCCGTGATTCGTAAGATTCGTGGGCATTATTACTTCATGTTCCAGACGTGTGAGCGACGGAAACACCAACTTGTGGAGGCCCACGTTCGTCTCTATGCTGTTCGACATGAAGCAGAGGATGACGCTGATGAGCCCAACGACTTTCTTTTCCAGTGCCACCAGATGCGAGTGCAACAGCCGGATGACGACTGCGGCGCGATGCTTCTTATGGTGTTACCGCAGGTGGTTGTGCATCGTATTGATCAGTGGAGTCCGCTATTCCCACCTGAGTGTCTGCCACGAGACGGTGGAGATCCAAAGACATGCGCGAGTTATCCGGACCCGACGCAGCGGCAAGTGGATATTGACAACGGGAGTCGCGATGGAGGACTGCCAGGCGATCCGAAACTGTACAAGGAGCCGACGAAGATGCAGATCATGAACCACATCCGCAAGAGTGGACTGGAAGTCGTCGTGATCTTGGAGGGTATCGACAGCTCGACGTCCAACACCATGCAGGCGCGCAACTCTTACACTGACGAAGACATCGCGTGGGATGCCACATTTGAACGCTGTGTGATCAAGACGTCGAGAGGTCTCTGCATTGACTTTGATCGCTTCCACCTGCTGAAGCCCGCGCCACTCGATGCAAAGCGTTGCGTCATGTCGTCGCAATTCTGAGAATATTGTTGTGAAAGCAGCAATTTTTCGCGGCAACAGTATGAGAGTGTAATGACAACAATGTAGATCACTAGTTTGATGTTTTTCTCGTTTGATATCATTGTCAAACTGTGTGCGTCATAGTCGCAGAGTTAGTTATACTACAGCCAAGTCGTAGGCAATAAATATCATGCTAACAAACATTCACAAGCATCTACCGCTTGGCAGTGGTACTTCGCCTCACGTCTGGCGCTGACGATTTTGTCGGCGAAGTCTTCTCTTGAGCAAATTGGCATCTGAATGGCACCACAACGAATTGTTAACCCCATTAGCTCAACAACCCTGATGAGTCAGCTCGATCGTACCGTTGATTCGACGTTCTTCTGCTTCAATGTCAGATCGGTCACGTGCAATTGCCAGCGAGAAAGCTCGAAGAGGGATTAATGGCTTGGGTTCAACGCTCTCTGTAGCGGCCTGGGGGTAATCTGTAGCATCTAACCAACAACGGTTAGGAATTAGACGATCTAAGGTCAGGTAACTATACAATCACCGTCTTACCAGATTTTACACGACCACTAGAAGACTGTTCGCCACCACAAGCATTAAAATTGAATCCAGTCACCACAGCCGACGTGTTCTCATTGAAACTCATCATCGCCTCCGACTCACGCTTCTTCAGTGAAGCCACCTCGCTCTCCAGCGCACGCTTCTCCTCCTCGAACGCTGTCACCACCGAACACTGTTGAACCTGGAGCTCCTCTAGCTGCATACTCTGAGCCGACAAACGCTCCTCCAAAGCACACTTCTCGTTCCGAAGAGCATTCATCTCGTCACCTGCCTCGGCATTCGACGCCTCCAACTTGGCTCTCGCAGCTTCAAGCTGCTCCGACAACGAAGACAGCTCGCTCTCTAGCTGACCCACTCGATTCTTTGTTTCAAGTGTTGGTTGAATTGGTGGCGAGGATTGGCTATGCTGGCTTTTCAATTCCTCTAGCTCGTCTTCTTGACTCGCAAGTTGCTCAGCAAGCTTGTATTGAATCTCTTGTTGCGTCGCTGTGTCTTGGGCATGGGCATCCATGGTTGCAGCCATCGCATCCTTGTACCTTGATTCACTTATCTGTTTTTCCTCATCCATCATCTGAATTCGCTCATGGAGTTGTTGCAGTTCCTGGGCTTGGGTTTGTAATTGTTTGACGAGCAATTCGTTTTCCGCATGGAGCTGAGCAAAATCGCCTTCCGAATATGTTGACGTTTGTTGCTGGATTGCGGTCTCAGACTGCACTGTAGCGGGCGCTGTTTGTGGTGGGGTCGGGATTTTTGACGGCATGCTGCCTTCAGGAGTTTTCTTCAACGCAGACGTTGGTGTCGTAGGAATTCGGCTTGGCAGAGGAATTCCACTCGCAGGGGTTAGAGCATATTTTCGCTGCAATGGCACTGGAGTTGTCAGTACGTTCGTGTCTGCGGTTGGTGGCGTCATCTTCTTGTCGGCGGAGCCACGCGGCTTCATGCTTGATTTTGCTCGAGATTTTAATCGCCGGTTTGGTTGCCTAAAAGATTTGTTCGCGCGTGCTGTCGCGTCTCCAGTACTCAAGTTTTTAGTCGCATTTTCCAGGGAAATCGTGTTCGTAATTGTCGCTAGATGTCTGCGCTTTGCAGGCTGATGATGCAACACACAAAAGAATCATCAGTAAAAAAAAACTATTAAGAACCAAACATGCAAAACGGAGTACCTGGTGTGATTTGCCCAAGCCAGCTTCGTTATGAGATCGCTTCAAATGTTTCTTGACCGCATCGGCTAGCAAACCATTTATCCTAGAAGCATTCAGCGTGTTCTGCAATCAGAAATCATATTTCCTTTAAATGAGTAGCAACAAAATTGTACCTGTCCGCTTGATCGGGCCAGATCGCGATATATTTCCTGCTCACCAGCGAAGTTGCTTGTTAGCCAGTGAGACCTCAGTAAACCAACGTTCAAAGCGTAATTACCAGTAGCAATCACGAGCCTTTTCACGTCCTCTGGGCGACGCATCGCTTAGTGAGGTCTACATACACAAGCACCAACACTAAGCAACAAAAGTCACTTTGCTACACTTAATCAAATTAATCTTACCGCGATAGCCGACTGGAGAGGTATCCTAAACCTTTCCAGGACAGCGCTATTCCAGCCTTCGAGAGCCAAATATATGTAATGAATGCAGCTCTCTCTCACCTCGCGATTCCTAAAGCCACCAAATCCAACAATAAATCAGTTCCAGACCAATTCAGTTCGTAAAACCTCCAGTTTTCGTACTTGCTTGTATTCAGCACTTGGAGCACAGGTGCCAGCACGAATCGACTGGGTGTAGCGTCCACAATGGCCTCGATACAGTTGTGGATCGCTGTAGTATTTACCTGTCACCCCAACATACGACACATAAGCCTATATTGCCAATATATCCTGGTCGTATGGCCACGTCTCACCTTGTTCGAGCCTCCTCTAGCGTCCAGTAGCGTGGGAAATACGTCACGTATGAGGATTTTGCATCTCGCGGGTCCCAGCGTCTGTGCTAAATGCGATAGCGTGGCGCACGCTTCCTTGACGACCGTGGAGCGCAAGTCGGTCACCGTCCCACGGAAAGGCTGCGTCAGCGCCTGGACATTTTCATGTGTGAAGACGCTTGGTATATCTTCGGCTACTACGGCCTCTGGTGCATCGTTGAGCTTGCTCTGTAGTAAAGAAGAGTCTGACAGGAGCGCACGCAGCTCCGTGAAGGCGGCACATTTGTCCTTCCACTCCTCTTCGGGCTGGATCAGCCGCTTGCCCAGCTCCAGCACGACGTTTGTCTTGCCTCCGAAGGTCTGCAATGACATGGTAGTTAATGCTAGAGCACATGAGAGCGCGTTGGAAGCTGTAGAGACGCACCATGAGGCTCATGTCGGTGCGCTGGTCGCCACGCATGTTGCAGCGAGTGCGGAATCAGAATGAAGGTCGTGCAATTTTGAAAAAAGCGCGCGCGGATTGCACCTTTGAATTTGAATAAATCTGGATTTAGTTTTGACCAATCATAGTTTACTTGTGTGGCCCACTTCAATTATCAAGTTTTTAAAGAATGCAACGCCTGTCAGTCATATTGCGACCACCAAAAGGAGACGAACATGACGACGCCGGCCAAGATCGAGGGCGCGGTGCCCAAGAAGGTGTACATGCACTACGACGAAGGCAGCGAGGCGCAGACGTTGACGCTTAAGATGACGCTGCCGTCCAAATGGGCTGGACACACTGTCGATTACCTGAAAGAGGTGAGTCATCGAATATTCTGGAATTGGTCACATGGGTTTGTAGAAAACTGACTGGCGTGCGATAGTTCTTCGTGGAGCACTACAACAACAAGAAGCCCGACAACGTGCTGGACGCCACCCAGGTGCACCTGGAGAAGAAGAACAACGCGGTGCTCTTCGGTGACGAACTGCTGCACACAGCCGTGCAGAAGTACGACGACCTGTTCCTCAAGGCCGGCGCCTCCACTCTCAAACCGGTGCGCGTCCAGAGTAAGCGCAATAGTGACGTTGTATCTATGTGTTAGTGGTATGTATTAATCTCTATTTTATTGTTACTGCTGCAGAGAGCGCTGCAGCCGCCACCTCAGACAAGAAGTACTTGCAGTGCAAGAACCACGGTTGCCAGAAGAAATTCCTGGAGGAGGAGAACAACGACCAGGCGTGCCGTCACCACAGTCTGCCGCCGCTCTTCCATGACATGAAGAAGGGCTGGCAGTGCTGCTCGTCCAAGATGGTGTACGACTGGGACGACTTTGAGAAGATCGAGCCGTGCATCATCGGTCGTCACTCGAAGGTGGGGCCTAACGAGCAATTCGCAGCGTCACCCACCGTGGCGGCGGCTGAGAATGCGGCGGCCAACTCTACGAGCGCTGCTGCTCCGCCAACGGCTCCGCTCAAGTCGATTGAAGACTACAACCAGAAGAACCCGAACGCTGTGACTGCTGTCTCCGCCGCTAAGGACAGTCAGACGGCTCCACCTCCGAAGCGGACGGACGGCAAGGCGAACTGCGTCAACTACGGCTGTCAGCAAGAGTACGTAGTGGCCGAGAACACCGAGACGTCGTGCAGACACCACGCCGGCGCGCCCGTCTTCCACGACGCCAGCAAGTACTGGAGCTGCTGCCCGAAGGACGTCAAGTACGACTTCGATTCGTTCCTCAAGGTTCCTGGATGTGTCGTGTCAGCGCATACGGACATCAAAACGGCATAGATGGGGTAGAGACAGCTGACCAATGCAGTGCGTTGGCTGTTTGGAGACCCCAAGTTCCTACAACATGGTGATTTCCAGCGTATATTGTGGTGGTGTGTGCTTACGTTTACTGTGCTAGTAGAACTCTTCATCTACGCGGTTGATTTCGTCCCGGACTCGGTTGATCTCGGCCAGGTGTTTCTCTTTAAGATGCAGAACTTCTGCGATACGAGCACGATTGCGAGTCCATTCCTGTTCCTTTGCACCTTTGACAATCTCTGCTATCTTCACAAGGCTCTGTTCACGCATGGCATCTTCCTGAGCCAGCAGCTTCCCAATGTGAATATCGTGAGACCCGTTGATGGCATTGTTTAGCGCGTCTCGGTCGTTCAGGATGGCGCGACACTCGTCAGTCAAGTAATCGTCGTCCTCTCCGTCGTCTGACGCCATTCTCTCGAGCAAAGCGACCGCTAGTTGGCTTACGTTTTCAAAGAAATTATTCTCCAGAACTTCGATAGTCCTGAAGTGTTCGGTGGCGATATCTCTGGCCTCGGAGCCCACCGCATCGATGGAGCTCTCCATTGCAGCAATCAATTCCTGCGCTGTCTCCACGACGTCAGACTCGAGATTCATGAGCTCGTTGTGCAGCTTATCACTGGAAACATCGGCGTCATGAAGAAGCTGCAGACCCGCAGCAGATCCCGACCCGTCAGCGTCTGATACTGCAGCACTATGGGCAGCATTGGCTTGCTTCAGAAGCTGTTTGGCTGTGCGACAGTGGGTCTCCACAGCTCGAATACTGGCCTCTTGGGCGTCGGCCTGAAGTTTCTCGTACGTCGCCTTGAATCCATCGACCTCCTTGGTCAAATTCGCGTGCTTGTCCAGTAGAACGAGCTTGACGTCTTCTGCTGCTGCCTTGGCCTTCTCAGTGTAGTCGTCGATGATGTTGCGTAGGCCTGGCAAAACCTCGATTTTACTCATCTCGGTGTCTTCCTTGAACATGTCTGTTAACAAGGTCTAGATGACAGCAAAAGGGGGTGAAAGTTTAGTACCAAAATGTCATGACTACAAGTAGCTTACCTCGAGAATGATCACGTTTGCGTCCTTGAGCATGCTCAAGTATTTTTGTTGCTCTACTTCTCTAGCCAGAGCTGCGTCCTCGATGGCCTTCACTTCTTTGAGCTCTTCCAACTCGTCCTGGTATTGTTCGCGTGCTTGTACAGTTTCATTATCGTCTACAAGCGCGTAGTCGAGATATTTGAGCTTGTCTAAATGAGCAAGTAAGAATCTGGATGAATTTCAGAATGTAAATTTTTAAATCGAAAGAGCAAAGCGGCTGAAAGAAGAAAACTCACGGTCGATACTCCGAGTCGGAACACACAGGATTCCCAGTCAAATTGAGCACGCGCAGCTTCTCAAGGCACTTCAAGTATAGCAGTCCTTCCGTGGATGGCAACAAATTGTTCCCAATTGATAAAACCTGCTTAAAATCAGTGCATAAGTACTAACTTTTCGATAAAGATTGATGGTCTTTACCTACCTGAAGTTCCTTTAGCGTGTCCAGGTTCTCGAGTTTCGAGATACAGTTATTGTAGAGACTTAAGTCTGTGAGTTTGACGAGATTTTCCAGTCCTTTGATCATGGAAATGTTGTTGAACGACAGATCGAGCCACTCGAGATGCACTAAATGACCGATCCCGTCGATCTCCTGTAGCACATTATTATCCAGCTGCAGCTTCACTAGATGACGCAGAGTCTCAAGGTTTTCCATTTTAAAAATGTTCTGGAACGACAGTGACAGTGTCTTGAGCTTGATGAAGTCCACACTTTGGTCAGCCTCATTGATCGCGTTGTTATTAGCTGGATCCAAGTCCGCGCAGGCCACCTTCTTGATCAACTCGTCACTGATCACGGCCACCTCTGCGTGCCGAACGCCCAGTCGATGCATGACTCCAGTCAGGGGAGATACGTAGTGCCACTTGATGCGACGAGACGCCTCAGTGCGATGCTACCCACCCCTGAAATAGGGTCAACGGCGCATAACGGATCAAACGTAGCTCGTCAATAGCTCGAGAGCCTAACATAAACAACAATGAACCAAGGTATTCATTGCCAAATTTCTAGCCCTATCGATCCAAAAGCTCGTCCTTCACCGGTTTCTTAGAATGGGCTGTGTTAACTCTGTGCAGCGGCATTTGGCAGCTGAGGATGCTGATGCCAGTGAGGCATCCCGCAGTGCTTCCTCTCGGTCGATACACTTTGCAAAGACTCCGAGTGTAGCTCAAGTGCGCGAGGGCGTTCTGTCTGAAATGGTTCGTTTCCGTCGTCCGCACATTCGCGATTCCGCTGGTTTCGACGTGGTTGACAGCGAAGGGGTGACGCTGTTAATTCAAGGTGGCGTAGCCGAAGGACTCCAGTTGCTACCGGAGGAGCAAGAGACCGTAGTGACAGCACTAAGAGAGAACGTGATCTTCTCGTGTATGCAGACCGAGCAGCTCCAGTCACTGGCCAAGTGTATGTTCGTACAAATCGTGAAGCCTGGCGAGACTGTGATCACCGAAGGTGAGATCGGCGACAAGTTCTACGTCGTTCGATCCGGTCGCTTCGACGTAGTAGCCAACAATGGCCACACGATCAACCGCTTGGTGGTTGGCTCTACTTTCGGCGAGCTGGGACTGATATACCGAGCGAAGCGTACAGCCACGGTAGTCTCCGATCCCAAAGCCCCCGGTACTTTATTTGCACTACCCGGTAAATACTTTCGATACGTAGCAGCGCAGCGATCGCTGGAAACCTTTCACAGCTCGTTGGATGCACTCAAGAAGGTTAAGCTACTTGAAAGCTTGACAGTTGAACAACTTGAAGTCGTAGCGACCTCTGTGTACTCGTTACAATACCGTCCGGGCGATACTATAGTACACAAGGGCGAACCTGGTCGTGTGATGTACATGATCCAATCTGGTACCGTTGTGTGCACTGATATCGGAAGTGGAAGCGCAGCGATCGCGAAGGTCCAACTGAAAGAGGGCGATTACTTCGGAGAGCGTGCTTTACTATCGGCTGAGCCTCGTTCCGCCACTGTCGTTGCACATACTGACGTCCGCGTGATAGCACTGGATCAATCAACGTTCACTTCCTTACTTGGTCCACTACAGCAAGTGCTCGACTACAACCGCATGCTACGCACTCTGGAGAGTATCACCGTGATGAAAAAAGTTCCATACGCGCTCAAGAAGAAACTACTAGACTCAGCGCGAATTGTTCACTTCGAACCAGACGAGACAATCCTCAATGAAGGTGACCATGGAGACACCTTTTACATTCTCAAAGAAGGCGAGGCAAAAATGCTGCAGCAGCCAAAGTCTCGCTCATCTTCTTCATCTTCTTCGAACCCTCCGTCTCCGATCCACAAGATCATCCCATTGAACAATGGGAACGTAAACGTAGAAGCTCCAGTTCCTGCCCTAGAAGTTGCTCGTATTCTACCGGGAGATACATTCGGGGAACTGGCAATCCTAGATCGTCGTCGCCAACCTGCATCCATCGTAGCGTGCACCAAAGTGGAGTGTTTCGCACTAACCAGCCGGGACTTTGACAACATTTTCGAATCTGTCAAGACCGACCTGTACGACCTCGCAAGACAGAAGGAGATTGTCAGTAGTGACAAACTCTTTGCTCACAGTATCACTTTATCTAGTCTCAAGTACATCAGTGTTATCGGCATGGGTTCCTTCGGTGTCGTTCACATGGCAGAGCACATACCAACTGGTCGATTCGTAGCGGTGAAGGAGATGTGGAAATCCAGGTTAGAGCAACTCCGACAAACTCATCACATCCAGAGTGAGAAAAAGCTGCTAATGGAGATCGACTCCGAGTTTCTTCTCAAATGTTACGCAACGTTACAAGACACTAAGAAAATCTACTTTGTGACCGAACTCCTGGTTGGTGGTGAACTCTTCCGACGCATCGTAACACACTCGGGACTACCGATCCTGCTTTCTCAACGCGACACTCGGTTCTACGCTGCGTGTTGCATCAAGGCACTCGAGTATTTGCACGAACACAATATTATCTACCGCGATCTAAAGCCTGAGAATATTTTGTTAGATTCCAGAGGATATGCCAAGCTGGTAGATTTTGGCTTCGCTAAAAAGCTGACTGGTAAGACGTACACATTATGTGGTACACCAGAGTATCTGGCTCCGGAGATTATCCTGGGTATCGGTCATGGTGTGGCTGTAGATTGCTGGGGACTGGGTATACTTATCTACGAGATGATCGTGGGAGATTCACCTTTTTCATCGCCCGACGCAGACCATCTCGCTGTTTGTCGTAACATTTTACATGGTCACATTTCGTTCCCCTTAGACTGTGATCCTGACTGGAAAGCGATCGTCCTTGCCTTGGTGCAACGCCAACCAGAGAAGCGTGCGTCGATGATCGCAGGCTCATTGCTGGATATACGACGTGAGAAGTGGCTCGCTGACTTCGACTGGGAATCTTTCATTCAAAGAACGATGCCGACACCGTGGATACCGGATGTTACAAGCGAAATCGACACGAAATATTTCCCTAAAGTCTCGAAGGATGAACTTACAGAATTTGACTCTTGCAAAAATCACAAACCCGTCGGTAACTGGGAAGGTTTCTAGCAGTGAATCGAAATAAAATGTTCTATAGTTATTATTTTCTATCCTCCGACTCATTCTCCTTATGCTCTTCGGCTTCTTCGTTGGAGACATCCCGCGATAATACAGCGGACGGATGTCTCTTTAGCGGTGCTAGCTTGGTGGATTCGAGATATTCCTCAACATCAAGAGCCACCTCGGCCGACATTTGCGTCTCGTTTCTTCTGCCTGATACCACTTGGGACTTCATATCCACCACCGGAGCTGGGACGTCCACCACTGTTGTCGTCTCGTACATCCGACGTAGAAGCTGCTGGAAGCGTCTGAACTTGTTCGTCACGTGCGTAATCACCAGCACAGCCAGCACCGGATACAATACACCTCCAGCGATCAAGAAATACACACAAAGTCCCATTTGCCAACATGTGCGACCCAAGTCGTTCTCCGAGCAGCGGTTGAACTGGTCCTTGTAAAAAGTCGAGTCGATGATGAGTTGAAACACGAAGAAGTACCAGACCATAGCCGATACGAGACAACCGATACCGTTGAACACACACAAGTGCATGAGGTACTTGTCTGCAATGGTACAGTGTCGAGTAGTAATCAGATGAATGGCCCAAACCACCACCACAGTAGTAGTATCCAGAACATTACGCCGGCAGTTTTTTTCCTTACCGTAATTTACCACCAAGAACATCCCTGGAACCTTCTTTCAGACCAGCTGCCATTTTGACGACGCAACCTCTCGACCACCTGAGAGCTAAAGCAACGTCTTTTCAATCTTAGGGTAGTTTCAGAACCGCTCGAACAGAGTGAATTGGTAAAAAAAAAAAATGATATATATAAAGCCGATTGATCCTGATATAAGAATCTTAGTTATATAAAGTCCATATCATTTCCGATCCAACCAACTGACCAAACCATGTGCAATTACATTATGAAAAATGGAAGACAATGTCCAAAGTCCAAAACTTTAGCTCGATGCTACATTCATCCTATCTCTAAATATCCAGAAGCAGAAATGAATGTTGATACAGCAGAGGAAATGATCATGACTATATTCGACAGCGACAATCATGAAGAGGTTTTGTGTCCTTGTGGAAAAACTACTAAGCGTTGGAATTATGCTCATCACTGTTCATTTCCTAAGCATAAAAATGGGTAAAGATGATGCCTGAGCCAAAGACAATTAGATCGTGGATTGGTACTGGTAAAGAGCTTGGTGGTTTTAACTGATTCTAACTTTCACAGGATTTCTCATAATTTCAGAATTAATTTATTTTTTTCTCAAAAATTTAACACCCTATGTATATAGATACACATAACTATTACCATGTCGAGCGAACTAACTTTTGGAAAATACAAGGGCACACCGATCGAAGAAGTATATGCTTCTGATCCCGGGTATTGTCGCTGGATGCTCAACCAACCAAGTCTCCATATTAATGAGGAAATCAAGATATTCCTCCACTCCAAGTTTCTAACCAATGATAACTCGTATATGATGAGTTGGGGCAAGTACAAGGGTAAGACGCTAAAACAAATTAGTCGCACCGATTCTAATTATATCGATTGGCTTCGTAAGAACCCATTCGTAATTGAGAAATGTCCTAAGCTTTTCGAGGCTTTACAGGCTAATTAAAAAAATATCTGTTTTTTTAAATCCAAATCTAAGCAGTGGTAAAATCAAGAACTTCACCCGTTAGACGATCGTAGGAGAGCTCTTGCTCGCTCACAACCAATACAAGCATGTTGGTTCCCTGGCAACCAGCGTTGACACCCTGGACCTGAATGGCCTGAGGGATATCACGCTCCGTCAGGCGGCTAACGTCAGCGATAAGGACGCGGTTAGTTAGAGACCACGTCTGATAGTCAAGAAGACCATTCACCAGCTCAGGAGTCAGATCACCATTAATCGAAGCAATCTTAGCGAACTCGTTTGTGAATTGATGGAAATCGTAGTCATGGGAGATATCGAAGCACTGAGTCGAACCAATGCGGACGTTGAAGTTGCGAATGCTCGAACCAGGGTGAAGAGTCCAAGGAGCCGAATCGAAAGGACTCTGAAACTCTTGGACAGCAGCAGAAACAAAACTACCGCTCTGTTCGGCAAAAGGAAGGAGGATAACATACTTAGCATTTTTAACAGAAGCCGAAAGCTGGAGATCAAATGCAGTATTGAGCTGAGTCGACTGCTTGCCAATGCCAGCACGCTGGTAAAACCACTGTGCATAACAGTCGTTGTAGCGGACTTTCTTAACCGGTTTAGAGATGATAGCCTGAGGGTTCTCCAAATGAACGAAAGGAACATACAGTCGAGAAGTCGTGAAAGGCATGTAGGTTCCATCAATTGTAGGCTCAAGCGAGTTAACCACAGCACCCCAAGAAACTGCAACCGAACCAGCGACACTAAGAGCATTGTACATTGGGTTTGGACTGGTCGCAGAAGCAACCATTACTGGGCATACATTGCCACTCGATAATGTTGTTCCCGTTAGCGTCATATTTCTCGATGCATCAACATCAATAGCTGAAGTGCCCTGGTTAACGCGGAAACGAAGACGAATTTGTGGATTAGCCATCAAGTCAAGCTCCTTGAAAATCGGATGTAAATCAGTAAGCTTAATCTTAAGCATATAGTTCCACGTCCCCATAATAGCACCAGGTGAACCAGAGCCAGCTACGAACGCACCGCGACCAAGTTGATTAGCAATGAAAGTCGTGGCAGATGCAGCACCAGTAGACGGCCACGACGTAGATGAGTCAGCTCCAGCATTAGGAGGGTTAGAGAGAAGACGCTTAGTAAAACCATCATTTGCTACCGATGCCGTAGCAGAAATAGTACCGGCGGTGAAGGTAGTAGAGATTGCTGTGTTATTCGAATACCCGTCTCCGGTGGTAGCAGCTGTACTACTATACTTGGTTGATTGAGCAGCATCCGGGTATAGAAACGATTCAGCGCCATGCTTCTCAACATACTGAAGGCTGTACCCTGTCTGAGCACGGATATTGTTCCAAAACAGCTTATAATCAGCCATCGAAACTATAGTCTTACCATTTAGCTCCAGAGACATCGAGTCGATAACATTGAAATTGCCACACTTCAGACCAACACAAAATCGGTTGGCTGCATTCTGTACATTTGTAGCGTGCGTGTTTTTCATCGAAACCTTGTATGGTAGCACAATGTAAGCATCGCGGAGGCAGGCAAATCCTTCACTACCATTAAGCTGAGACGTAGCGTCGATAGTGATAACACCGTTTTGGTATGAACCTTGGTTAAGATCGATAACAAAAGGCACGCGCTTGCCAGAGGAGACCTTAATCTCCGGATCACTCTTGAGCGAGCTCTGGTAAAGGTATTGGTCGGAAAGTTGTGTTTCAGACATCGTTGAGATTCTATATGGCATGTAATATACTTTATCAAAAATAATTATTATGGAACTCGTCAAGCCTATCACATCTGATCATGATCTCATCGAACTTGCCAAGCGTATTGGGGTTCATCTCGATGGTATATTTGAGTCAAACGAGATCGCAAAGCCACTTCCGAAGAAAGGTTCATACCTGGTTCTACTTAGACCGCCTAGTCTCGATGTAGGACACTGGACGGCTGTTCATAATGGAGAATATTTTGATAGCATGGGAGAAGCGGCGCCTACTAAGTATGGGGTCGGGCGATATAATCCCAAACAATATCAAGGTACGTATGGCGATTACTGTGGAGGCTTCTGTATGCTTTGGCTCTATTCCAAGCAGCACAAAAGACCTGATGTATTCAAGAACATGAAAGATCTGAATTTGTCAATTCTGTATTAAATATGTTTCAGGGAATATAGCAATCATGTATCGTGAATTAACGATTTCCAGCGACGTTCCAGCTCCCAAGCTGACTAAAGCCCTCAAGACAGGTAAGCTAAGTCTTACATCTGATCAACTCAAGGGTTCAGGCTCTGTTATCCATCTCCACCCAGCTTCGTATGAGAAAGCGCTAAAGGCACGCAAGGCAGGTCGTGGTGTTAGACTTGACATTACCAGACACGAGATCAAGAAAGGTTACAAGAAACTCCAAGGGGGATCCATTTGGAGTAAAATCAAATCTGGGTTATCAACAGCATTCAAATTTGTAAAAGACAGCGGATTGCTTTCAAAGGGATTAGACGCGGCGGTTCCGGCTCTTGCGACAGCGTTTGGAGCCCCTCAAGCAGGAATCCCCGCAAGAGCAGCTATTAAGTCATTGACAGGGGTTGGAGTATATGACTCTGACAGCGATGTAGAGAAAGAAGGTGGCCGTATTTCGGTAGCGGATGTTAAGAAGGCGGCAAAGAATGCACTATCCTACGCTAAGCGAAAGGGGCTTCTAACCGATGCGGTCGATGCAGGTGAAAAGTTTTTACTATCAAAGGCAAGCAAACCGGAACATGAAACTCTAATCAAGTCAGTGCGAGGTGAGGTAAAGAGACGTTATGGTGTGGGAGTTTCTAAGAAACCAGCTAAAGGCAGTCCTGAAATGAAGGCTAAAATGGCCGCTTTGCGTGCTAAACGGCGAGGGGGAAGTTTTCGGTTATGAGAGTTGGATAAAAAAATTAGCCATTCGATTATTTATTTTTTTGGACGAAGCAGAAGCATGATCGAGACTGAAGTATCACGGAATTTAACCTTCTGGTCGTTTTGATTAAAGATTGAAATCGTGATTGATGTGCGCGATCCATTATGACAGTTCATCCAGGCATATTGACTTGGCTTATAGCTGATTAATTGACCTACCTGAGCATCACCACGATCAAACGCACTAAGAATATCACCAGAGGCTACATACTCGTTCTTAATTAGATCACAACGAACGATGTAAGAAGATGTAGGATGGATCTGAGGAATTGTATTACTGAGTTGAGCACTTGAAACCGTTGCAGGCACTGAAGGATACGTACCAGTAGTCAATCCTAATACTTTACCAAAAGCGGCATTATCGATGATGATGCGAGGGACACGCGTTGTTGTTGGCAAACCAGTACCGCCTGACGAATAAAGACCACTTGCCGGTCGTGTCCAAGTGCCACCAGCCGTAGGAAGTGTCGTTGGAGTAGCGCTAAAATCGAATTGAGCAGCATAATACACACTGTTTTCCGTTAGTTGAATATAGAAAACGTTCTCACCCGATGGATTAATTAAATACGCTCCAGCATTTACGAGAGCTGTCTGGATGCTTCGATTTATATCAGTATAATTGTAAAGCCCATCAGGCAAGCTAACAGATACAGTGGATGTGGTTCCAGCTGTCGGAACTTCAATTTTAAAGGAATTGTTCCAGAATTGAGCGGCGTCAATGTTGTATTCAGAGTTATACATCGAAATCGATTGAACTGCACATGCTACATCCTTAAAATCGGCAGCACTACCAGGGAAGCTGTATTTCCATGTGCTGTTGTATCCGTCTTGAACGAGGTTAGTTGAATCGAGTTTAACAAACGAAGCGCACATGGTTTATGTATATTGATTCACTCAAAATATTTTCAAATTATTGCTCAATATCGATCGGCCTATCGAAGTTATATCTGATTTGACCTTTGACTGAATCCACGAACAGCATCTGTCCTTTGCGCTCCGTGGCTTTATTGTAGTAATAGACGATTGATCGTTCATCAACGCCTTTGATGTTAAAATCCTTTACAACCATCTGTAAATCACGCTTCGAATTCGCTTTTAGAATCGCTACGTACTCTGAATTCAACCGAATCATCTTATCAGTAGCAAAGTAGCTGTGGCTTAGGAATATGGTTGAGAGTTTAAAGTGTCGCCCACGTGTATAGTAATGAGAGAAGATATTCTTCTGAAGTAGTTTATCATTGCTATAGTCATCAATGATAACAAGCTCCGGTTTGTTAGAGCTTAATGGAGTATGACGCACCTGATCTACTTTAGGAGGGCTATCTGGGTCAGCAAATGTGATGAATCCTTCCAACTTTTCCCGGAGATACTCATAAAGCTCCTGATGGGGATTACGAGCAATGATAGTTAGATGAGCAAATACGTGAGGAGAATGCTTGAGAATAAACATACAAAGATTGTTCTTCCCTGAAAAGCTTGGACCGAGCACAACCATTCTAAACAAAGCTTTCATATCCAATGCGGGGATATCACCCATCGAAGCAGACTTGAATTTTTTCGGAATCGAAGCCCCGAAGTCAGGAATAGCACTCATGACTAAAATCGTTTGATCTATATAGGATTAAACAAAATGAGTTCCGGTTTCTCATATCCACAGCCTACATTTCAATCAGCCATTTATAATCCTTCATTCTATCTTTCGTTAGACTCGAGTGGTTATCTAACATACGATTATGCGCAGACACTATATTTGAGCAAGGATGATTACAGGATGGGCTACCTTAGCGGAGTAATAGCGGGAACTGCTTCGTACAGCAAAACTTTGATTCTCGATTCGTCCGGCAATATTAGCGGAATTAATAGCTTTGGAGCTTCTACTATTACTGGAACGCTACAAACCGGATCCCAACCCAATATAACGTCTCTCGGATCTTTATCAGGTCTTACGATCGGTGGAAATTTATCGTTCAGTGGATCATCGCGCTCGATATCGATAACAGGCACTTCAAGCTACATCGATTGTCGAGAATATCGCCAGAACGGGACTATATACGATTTGGGCCTTCTTGAATACATAAACGGAGTTAGTTTTGGTACCGCAACGCCAAATAAATTCCTATTATGCGACTCAAGCTCGAATATCGGAGGCCTAAGTTCGGTAACGGCTACTACTCTGACTTGCACGAACTTGCGCCAGGGCTCGACGTATTATGACCTATCAAGCTTTTTAACATCTATTCCGACTTCCCTCTCGCTCAATAATCTGTCAGCGAGTGGGGATATCAGCTGCTCCGGCGTTATCAATGGGTTTTTAGCGTATGGAAACCAATCAGCTATAACAACAGTAGGATCGCTGACAGAGCTTGGGATCAACTCTACAGCAACGAATGAATATTTCTCGATCACTGGTAGTGGATTGGACTTTCTTGATGGTTCTTACACACGAATGACGACTCTAACCGGGTCGAATACGACTCCTGTTCAATTCCAGATCCAAGTCCATAATGGCAATCGATCAACCACAGCGAACGCGTCATGGATCGGGAACATCACAAACAACGACCTCAGATTTGGGGTCAATAACTCGACGTCGATGATTTTAACTACCACAGGTCGTCTTGGTCTTGGTACTACAAGTCCTTCAGCTCCGCTGCACGTCCCTGGCAGCAACAGTTTTGTATTTGGAGCAGGCGGAACGACAGTGTATCGCCTCAGAACAGATAGTGGAGCTACAGAATCCGCTCTTGGCCCGATCACATATTCAGTAGCGGGTATATTCGGAGGATACATTGCCAGTACAGCCATGGCGATGACGTCGGATCGACGCCTTAAAAAGAATATTCAATCATGCCCAATTGATCGTGTGAAGCGGCTCTACGATAGCTGTGAGGTCAAGCTCTATGACTGGATCGAGTCGGAAAACAAGCCTGGACAAGAAATCGGTCTCATAGCTCAGGATTTGGTCTCAGCCCATCTAACTGATTTGATATCGATCTTTAACAGAGATGATATTGAAGGGGGAGAAGACCCAAGCCTTGAACCAGCTAAGCAACAGCTCAACGTTGATTACAGTCGAATATCGGCTTATAATATGAAGATGATTCAGCATCTTTTGGGTGAGATAGATAGATTAAAAGATCGTTTGGCTAATATAGAGTCATGAGGATTGAGCGCTGGGAGTTAAGCCCTTTGAAGAGCAAGAAGTATCGAGTATGGGTACGTCTTGATACGGGAAAGTTGCGCAAGGTTGATTTCGGGGCTCGTGGATACGCCCAATATCGGGATCAAACGCCTCTGAAGGCTTTTAGTCATCTTGATCATAATGATGAGGAGAGACGTCATCGATACTACCTTAGACACAAAGTTGATTACCCAGAACCATCAGCGGATTTCTATGCTAAGAAGTTTCTTTGGTAATAATATACAAGAAATGGGTTGCGTACCAAGCAAAGATCTTAAATCGAATTTAACTGCTGATGAACCTACTCAGGCAATTGCTTCTACATTCATGCGCGCTGATCAGATCGTAGCTCTCGGAGATAGTGCATTCGTTCCTATCAGAGATGCGAAGACGGGGGAAGATGCTATCATGGAAATACATGTTGGAGAGAAAAAAATTAGTATATATCGCGGAATGGCGAATAAAGCTGTTAGATCTGGTATTGCTTAGATAGCAAACGTCTTTACAGACTTCGATTTTTTTTAGTTGAGTATGCCCATACTTTCCCTCCTTCCGTCTGGGTTGACGCATCCGTTTTCTTGAGCGTCTTGCCAAGATCCGTTGCCCAAACAGCTGCCTGGGTCTTTTGAGGGCGGTCATGGATGATAAGATTTTTCATGATGGCTTTTAGCTCTGCGACGTTGAGATCAGCGTTGTCGCCATATCTACCACCTGAGCTGGAAATAATTCGGGGATTGAAAAAGAACATCTCTATTAGAACGAAGTTCGAAGGATCGCAGATCTGAGAACAAGTTCTCTAAGCTCTGCTCTATATCAATCGGACGATAATATCCTTGAACTCAGAATCCGAAATTAAACGATTGGAGTACATATCCACACTAAGCGATTTCAGTTGCTTGATGATTGAAGGATTATCATTGCCTAATTCAAGCTCTCCTTTCAGCTTGTCATATTCAGCTCTTAGAGAGTCTAACGGATCCTCAAGGTGGTCATGGAAGTTATACTGAAGATGTGTAATCGCAAGGATCTCTTTGAACAGTTTTCTATCATCGATACTGAGCTTGTCATATGAAGCTTGATCGATATGATTCTTATACACAAGAGTTCGGATCATTGATTGTAGACCATCACTGATTTGACATTTGGGTCCGCATTTGCGTCTGTTAGGCTGAACGATGACCAAGGTCTTAGCATCAAGATCGGGGATCCGAATGTACTTAGAACCGAGCTGTCGATAGACGTATGCCGATGGAGTGGCTAAGCCTTGGATCTCATTGAGGTTGTAGGTTCTCCCACGACGCACAACTCCATCCAGCGGAGCGACACCAGCTCCTCTCAATCCACGCCCCTTAAGCCCACTCCCATTAACGGTATTGATCATGCCATTTATGACCCGTTTGATCGATCTCTGATCTTGGCGATTAGAAAAGCCTTCCACATCAGTTTTTACATGTGATACTTGACTATATTTTTTTGACTTTGCTACATAGACTGCCTTTGTTGCTTTCATTGCTGATGTCGCCGCCTTCAACGCTGATCTTGCTGACTTTGAGTTTGACCCCTTCACAGTATTTTTAGCATTCTCATAGCGCTTCTGAGCCTCGCCATAGGCTTGAAAAGCTGCCTCTGACTCATCATGAAGCTTTTGCAAATTATCGTCGTGATCATACACCTCGCTGCTTTGACGCTTAATATCATGAGCAGACTTAAGGATTACATCATTTAGTATTTTAAGGTTAGTATCAAGGTTTTCTCGACGTTGCTGATTCAGTTTCTTCTCT